GGGTGCTTTCCATTTAGGCAGAACTGGCCGGCCAGTCCACTCTATTTAGAGGTATATAATGCTTTTTGTCAACATTTTTCAGTCATTTCGAGGTTTTCTGTAGAATAATGGATAGAATTTGAAAATTTGAATTTCCTAACTAAATGGGAATGATATATAATGACATTTTCTCTGGGTCTGGCCAGCCAGTTCTGACAAATGGAAAGCGCACTATAATTTATTGTATGCTTGACTCATTTAAACGTATGTAAACAATAATACGAGCAYGCAAGGTATGGCGGTTGGTTATGATTCTTTAAGTTGTTTCACTTCCTGTTTCATGGTTAAAATTTATCTTTTTGTACTTGAAACATTATTAAAACAAWGCAAACTGCATACAATGGCATGAAAATCAAATAATGTCATGATCAGGAGCCTTTTCAAAATACAATATAGTACCACACAGTACCATAAGTTTTTGCAATATTGCAATTATCCATCATACAATTTCCGCATACAATTTCAATTTGTCTGATAGCACTGAGTTTTCATTTGGTTACTTTGGCATTTCAATTATCGAATTTATCAATTCTATTGATGGAATTGACTATTGATTCTATCGGTTAATATTCACTTGAGCAACAAATTTGACACATTTTGTTTGAAGAATTTTGCCACTGATCTAACTCCATAGGGCAGTTATGATTATTATGGTTTGCAATGCAAAAAACTTACCACGTGTGCAAGATTGTTTCTCGTATCTCGTGAGATTCTAAAACGTCTGCGGGGAGTGTGAGCTCGCTTTCTTCCGGTCTTGGGCTTCCTGTGGTAAGCCTAACAAACGTATGACAAACGTTTGTTTGGCTGTTGTCATCACGAGTTAGATATTWACAGCTTTCTCTTTTAGATCTGCTTATCCCTATTATTTCTTCAAGAAAAATATTAATATGTTTCAATTTAAAAGGATTTATTAACAAAAATCACGAAAAGCTAAATATCAGGGAGTGAAAATACTCAAAATAAGTAAAGTTAAGCTTACTTGAGGCTTATGACACTTCTGTATTTTAAAAAGGCTCCCTGACATTTAAAAGCAACAGACACTTCGAACAACTTCTGATAYAGTTTCATTATTAAGCTTAATTCTTCTGCCGTGCAGCACGACTGATGAGTGATAATGCCGTGCCATTGACGTGCTACAGTCGTTCCGAACTGAATTGATTCATGCGTCTTCATGCGTCGAGCTCGGGCCTAAAATATTAAGCTAAAAATTTCTTATGAACTAAGCTTAATTTCATATGTAACCCGACCTAATTTGAGCCTTGAGCTTCATTTACAAACTTACCTAAAGTGAGTATGACTTTCACATTGTTTCGGTACGTAGTTTTCAACTTCCCAGTCAACGAAAAACGACGCTAGATATATTTATTTGTCCCGAGCCTTCGTTTCTGGACAGCGGCTAGAAGTATATACCACAGGCAACCCAAGCCCAGTTTCATGTAGTTTGTACAGCTATTTCAGAAAATTTGAAAGCTGGTGTTAGAATGCATCTTACCTCCTGTGTATGGTGTAATAGCTTCATTCAAGAGGGTGTCAATGAGGTTAATAGCTAACTGACTTTTGGCTTAAAAATTATATAGTAGTTAACTAACTAATGAAAATCGTAGTTAACTGACTTTCTTACGCATATCCGCACGTGCGTACTACTGGAAAGGAATTATTCAAATTTTCGGGATTTGATGCCTTTTATATGCTCTCGATGCCCCTCAAAACGCTGAAAGTCGCATTTCCAATAGCTATTATTTCAAAATTTCCCGGGGGAGGACCCCCGATCCCTCTTAATACTCCCGCCTTCGGAGGTCGTTAGCCCCCCAATCCAAAATATGTGTCGCGGTACCGGCCATGGTATTAGTCAAA